TGCTTCCTTTCTCGTCTATATCTTAATGAATTTAAATGTCCCCTGAGGCGTATCGTTATACATACATACATACATTCATGTATAAATACATGCATACATACTAACTTACATGTTTGGAAATTCATCCATCTGTCTATGGAGTTATTCTTCTTCCCATTCCATCACCCCCCCCCCACCCCGTGCTTCCTTTCTCGTCTATATCTTAATGAATTTAAATGTCCCCTGAGGCGTATCGTGTGTAGCTAAATGTTATTATTATAAAAAAAATGCCTTTATTTTAGACCGTTTGAAATATCATTCTTCTCTGAAAGTACACTCTCTTCAAGATATTAAATAATAATTTTTGTTTCTCGTTTATCTGATGAGAATACGTTTATTATTATTTAAATGCAATCCTCGTTGATGCCCTGGAGGAAAATAACAACTTAGTCCATTTAAATTTTGAAATATATTTTGAAAACGAACGATACGGGAGCAAAATGCAGAATGCTACCTTGAAACGTTCATTCCATTTCACCATTCAATATATTCTTCATAAAGGATAAAAGAAGTTGTTTTCATGCGTGAGTTGTATGTTCACCTTAGGGTATAGGTTTCGTATAGCGTTTCATTGAACTAGCTTGACCATAACCCTAAAGAAACGAAGCAATTTTAATGCGTTCGGTTTCTTAAAATGCTCCATCAACTTATGAAAATCGATTCGTTTTAAATATGCAAGAAAATTTATTATACTTCACATTTTATTTGTTATATGTTTAAGAATTATTATTATAAATTAAACAAACATTTAATATAGCAATTAAAAGAAACTTTGTAAGCTGTTTATCCAAATTTGAATATAAATTTCCTTTTGATGAAAATGTGTGTGACCCCAAGTATTATTATTATTAAATCATCATCATCCCATTTTTCAGGAAAACTTTAAAATGTGTTGTTTTTTTATTTCGTTATCTGGAATGTTTTTAATATTGCGAAATTGATTTAAATTAATTGTATTTAAATGTCTTTTTAACAATGTCAAAATAAACTCGCCAATGACGTCACGGGGCGAATGGCCTATTTTAACCAAAGCTTTAACTGTCTTTGCATTAAATAAACGCGCGTGACAAAAAGTATAATTTATTTTCACATTTTTTTTTTTTAAAGTGATTAAATAATTGCTGTTTTAATAGCTCATAAAACAAGCCATCTTTTAGTTTTGTAATTTTACTATTTAATACGTTTTTACTAATTTTTCTTTCCAAAAATTTCCTATATTAAATTTAGATAGCAATCAAAACGTAACCTTTCGAGATCCTTCTAACAAGAAATGCCCTTTAAGTCAATTAGGGCAGCGAAACTTCCTACTCAAATACTTTTAACTAATTCCCTTTTCAAATAGCAGCAAACCATATGAAGGTTCATTTTGTTATCGATAAATCAAAAACCAATTGTGTGACGCATTTGAAACTTGGTAGAATCTTTGATGCTAGAACTACGAAATTACGCGCCGAATTATACAAGATTTTTTTTAACAGCGTGAAGTAAAATGGATTTGGGACTTTAAGTTAAGTAAATTAAATTACAAAAAAAAAAATGTGTCTTTGCTTTTTGCCTACTACGTACCGTAAAGTAAAATGGATTTGGGACTAACGAATTTTAATGAAGTACAGTGACTTACAAAAAATGTGTCTTTGCTTTTTGCCTACTACGTACCGTGAAGTAAAAAGGATTTGGGACTAAAGAATTTTAATTAAGAACAGTGACTTACAAAAAATGTGTCTTTGCTTTTTGCCTACCTAGTGGACTAAAGTTCCGTGGATGATTTTATTAATTTTCAATAAAATCGTAAAAGGGGGGGGGGGGTCGGGGGTCGGATTGGAAACATTTAAATTTGCTCCATGTAGAGCAAGATACGCATCAGAGTAAAGAAATAAATTGGATAAATATTACCATCTTATGTACATATAAAATGGGGGTGGGAAATAAGGTTTTTTCATTTTTAAGTGGATGACAATATCTTTAATCGAATGATATTCCAGTTGTGAAAAATATATGCTGCATTCCCTTTATACAAATAAACCCATGTTTACCAATTAATAAAATCAATGGCCTTAAAAAAAAGAAGGTACCCTTACATAAATATACCGATGAATATCAACACCCAATCATTTCACGACAAAAATTCATCTTGAAAAACAGAAATGAGTTAAGATTTTTTTTTTAAAATAACAATCAATAATTCTTTCTTCTGCGATTTTTCGATAACACAGTAGAAAAAAAACAACAACAAACAAACACTTAGTTTAAATTTTTAATGAAGATATAATACATCTTCGTTATTCCGTTAGTATACAATTTATTTAAAGTGGTAGAAAGAGGGGGTTTTTTTGGCGGTAAATTTAACAAAGAGTTTCATCATCATTTGATTTTGTTTGCTTGTGTGTTAGTGAGTGGACATTTTCCCCCGGAGCCCAGAGGCATTGGTATTTTATACCCAAGAGCCTAAGGTTCAAAGAGATGGGAAATAAAGAAAAACACATTCGACTTGTACGCAAAACAGTTGTAGACACATTATTGAATAACATTTTAAACTTCAATCTATATCTATGAAAATGAATGTCTGTATGTATGTATCTTTGTATGTTTCGTATGTGCTCCTACGCCATTCATGCGCATGCGACAAAACTTTGGTCAGTTGTTGTTCACATATCCGGGCATTTAACTGGGTCATTACAACCCTTATAAAATGTTCCGTTTTCAGCCGTTGGCCCTTTATTCTTTTTTATTTCTAATATGAGCTTTGTAAAAAATAATTTCCATATGCGCTCCTACGATTTCGATAAAACTTTGACGAGGTGTTGCGAACATATCCGTAAAGGTTTCTAAATAGTTACAACCGTTTTAAAATATTCAGTTTTGAGCCAGGGGCTCTATGTTCCATTTTCCTTATATGAGCTATATAAATATATTTTCAAACCGTATGCGCTCCTACACCATTCATGCGATTGCAGGAAAACTTTGGTGATTTGTTGTCCATAAGACCCCGCATTTGACTGCGTTATTTAAACACTTTTAAAATATTCCGTTTTCGGCCGTTGGCCCTTAATTCGTACTTTTTCTCATATGAGCTTTGCAAAAAAAATTAATTTTCTAAGGCGCTCCTACGCTATTTATTCCATTACAATAAAACTTGGTGAGATGTTGCCGCCAGCACGACCGCAAAGGTTTTTGAATTATTAGAATTGTTTCAAGATATTCCGTTTTGAGCCAAGGGTCCTATGTTCGTTTTTTTTCGTATATAAACTATATACATATATTTTCAAGCCGTATGCGCTCCAACACCATTAATGCGATTACAACAAAACTTTGGTGAGTTGTTATCAATAGGCCTGCGCATTTTACTCATTCATTACAAAATTTTAAAAATATTCCGTTTTCAGCCGTTGGACCCAAATTAATATTTTTCTTATATGAGCTTTGTAAAAAAATAATCTCCTTATGCTCTCCTATACCATTTTTTCAGAATGCGATAAAACTTTAGTGAGATGTTGTGCAATGGCCCACAAAGGTTCTTCAATTATTACAACCGTTATAAAATATTCAGTTTTCAGCCAGGGGCCCTATGTTCGTTTTTTATAATATGAGCTATATAAATAAAATTTCAAACTGTATGCGTTCCTACACCATTCAAGCGATTGCGATAAAAGGGAGTTAAGTTGTTTTCCACAAGCCAGAGCATTTTTCTAAGCCATTATAGCCCTTCTAAAATATTCCGTTTCGTGCATTTGGCCCCTATTTGGTGTTTTTTTCCTTATACGAGCTTTATAAAAAAAATATTCCGTATGCTTTCCTCTACCATTTATTAGAAGGCGTTAAAACTTTAGAGAGAAGTTGTGCGTACGCTCGAATAGATTTTTTAAAGTTATACAACCATTTTAAAATGCTCCGTTTTTAGCCAGGGGTCCAATGTTCGTTTTTTTCTATATAAGCTATACAGCTATAATTTCAAACAGAGCTAATGCATGGATGGATAGCTTTTTAATAAATTACAACTAGTAACATTAAATTGTTTGGGTGACTTATTAAGTAGGTTTCTGAAGTAATACAAAAATTCTACAATATTCCGTTTGTGGCCGGGGGCCCAAAATTCGTTTTCCACTCTTTTATTAACTATATAATTATCGTATGCATTGCTAAACCATTCATCCGATTGTGATAAAACGTAATCAATTGAAATGCGCACTACCGCCAATGTTTCTAAATTAGAAAAAACTTTTTTACAATATTACGGGGTAATAAAGGGAGACACTGCAATCAGGTTAGTACAAAATACAATGAGTAAAACATAGTAGGGTTAAACCTGAAAAATAAACGCAACAAAACAGCGAACGTGTCGGCAGAAAGCCTTCGTCAGCGAACAAAGCAACAGAAAAAAAAAACGGTATAAAAATAAAAATAAGAAATAGCACTTAGCTGGGTAGTAGTATCTGTAGCTACATATTTTTTTTTTTAAAATTAAGAATCAACTATTTATGGTAGTTTGTATGAAAATCGATTATTTTCATATCTTTGTCTTTGCATTATATTCCTTTACATAGGCTGTAATTTTATTATCTTCCTGACTTTTGTGGGGTTTTTTTTGTTTGCTTTATTTAAATAAGATGTGGGCACGCCATGGAAATTCGATCACTTTGCCCCACTTTATTTCAAAGATTTGTTTCAATATATCTAATAAATAATTTAGTCTTATTATGCAACAGTTATGAACAATATTTCACGTTAAGTTAAAATTTAAATACATACAATTTAGCTACTAACTAATAACAGTACATTTGATTTGTTTCTAATTGCAGTGATTTCCTTTATTTCAACAAAAGATGAATAATACAAGTTTGAGAGGAGATGTCAATGAAAATACAGTGACTGACAGCCCAACAACTATTTCAACTACTGACAGTCTCTTACTGTATGACACAGCCATGACAATTCATCTTATTGTAAATTGCGGCGTCACTTTCATTGTTGGCATCATTGGAATAGTTACTAACATCATAAACATGCTGGTACTGTTTCGTCATGGAATGGATGATTCTACAAACATTGTCCTCTTTGGTCTATCAGCATCTGACTTGGTATATTCATTCTGTGAAACATATGGTAGATTAATTGGCATTACTATAAGAGTTGATTTATTTTTAGCTCGCACACTTTCACCAGTTTACGTTGTTTGTTTGATGTTTATCGGTACATTTGGTATGGTGACAAGCGTTTGGCTTGTGTCACTTATCTCTATTGAGAGAATGATTGCTGTTTGTTTTCCATTTCATGTTTCAAGACTCATGTCTCCCATTAGAATGAGGTCCATGGTTGTGTTTGTATTTACGTTTGTTGCGCTCCTCTACAGTCCTTCATGTTGCGTATATTATTTGGACTGGTCTTTCGACCCAAGATATAACAGAACTTTATTAACCTATTTTGAAAGGAAAGAATTTAATGATAACATATGGTGGATATTTATCATACTTCTATACATTTTTCCAGCCTTTGCATCTAGTGTGCCCATGATTATTATACTAGTTTGTACATTGGCAACAATTTTAAAACTGATAAGGGCAAACAAGAATGTCGGCAACAGTTCATCATCTAGAGCAAAGCGAGTCAAGGAAATGAGATCGATAAAAATATCGCTAATTATTTGCGGTTGCATGGCTTTTTCGATATTGATACCGAATGCCTTCCTTGATGCTTTTTACATACCGGAAGACTTATTTCGATTAATAAGAGCATTCGCTCAACTAGCTGTCCAAATCAACGCTACAATGAATTTCTTTATATATGTAGCGTTGAGTTCAAAATTCAAATCCACATGTTTAAATTTAATTCAATGCGATAAATAATCATTAATATAGAGCAAGTAGAGGCGTATAAGTACCTAGGTGTTACCATTTATAATAACCTGACATGACGTTGAAAAGAGCACATTCCGTATAAAATGTCAACCTAAGACATTTTGTTTTAAAATATTAAAATAATATATAATAATAATTAGTTGTCTTTTATAGCGCGGTATACCCCAGCCTAAGACTGGGCTCACCGCGCTGTACATTTATATTTTTATGGCATCTTTTCCACTCCGGGAGACGATAGATTATCTTTATTGCTTGCAGCTTTTGGTGTGGCTGGTGAGACCAATCCTTGAATCGCAGTCTCTGTTGCATTTCCCACACATGAATGCGCTGGAGCAGTATTTACCGTCCTTCCTCCTCGCTCTTTTTGCAGCTGTTTCCGCCCTGTTTTGCTCCTCGGCATGTAGTGATCCTGCCTTCACGATGCCCCACCATGAGGATCAATTTTCTGCCAGCTCCTCACAGTTTGAGATGTCGATGTTGGCCGACTTCATGCCTCTTTTGCATATGTCTAAGTATCTCAGACGAGGCCGTCCAACTGACCTTTTACCTGTCGCCAGCTCGCTGTATAGCACGTCCTTTGGTATGCGACCAGGTTGCATTTGCTTGGCGTGTCCAAGCCAGCGGAGGCGTCTTTGGATTAACATGGCTGGGACGCTACACATGTTTGTTTGGGACAGGACATCCGTGTTGGGGACTTTGTCTTGCCATTTAATGTCAAGGATGTGGCGCAGGCATCTGAGGTGGAAGCCATTGAGCCTTTTTTCGTGGAGTATGTGGTCCCCGACTCGCATCCATACAGGAGTGTGCTCAGTACGCAGGCCTGGTACACCTGCAGCTTAGTTCTTGTTGTGAGTTTGGCGTTTGACCAGGCTCTTTCTTCAGTCTGGGCATAACAGTTGCGGCCTTCCCTATCCTCCCACTTATCTCATCCTCCATTGAGAGGGTGCTCGATATGTTGGATCCCAGATATGTGAATCTGTCAAAAGAATCCAAGTCGTAGTCGTCGATGAATATAAACAATTTAAGCGGTGGATAGAGCACTACTTGGAAATATACGCAACGATAAACCAGGTCTCAACCGCTGCCCTGGACGATATCCCAGACTTACTGGTCATGGAGGAGCTTGATACCCTACCCACCATACAAGAGCTGCGTAGAGCCATCAATTGTCTCGCCAGTGGGAAAGCCCCGGGCAATGATGGTATCCCACCAGAATTTCTCAAATGTGGAAAAGGAGTACTATTACGGCCGTTGCACGATCTCCTTACTCTGTGCTGGGAACATGGACAGCTACCACAAGAGTTGAAAGATGCAAAAATCGTTACATTGTACAAAAATAAAGGAGACAAGAGTGACTGCAACAACAATCGTGGAATCTCCCTCCTCAGCATAGTTGGAAAGGCTTTCGCCCGAAATGCATTAACACGCCTACAGATCATAGCATCGCGTGTACTCCCAGAATTGCAATGTGGTTTTCGTGCCGCAAGGTCAACCATAGACATGATCTTCTCTCCGCGCCAGCCGCAGGAGAAGTGCAGGGAGCAACATATGACTTTATACATTGCGTTTGTCGACCTCACTAAGGCTTTTTACCTTGTCAGCAGAAGCGGCCTGTTTCAGATCCTCAAAAAGATAGGCTGCCCTACACAACTGCTTAACATCATCAAGCAGTTCCACGAAAACATGCAGATCACAGTGTGCTATAACAGTTCCGCCTAAGAAGCTTTTCCAGTGAGTAGTGGAGTAAAGGAAGGTTGCGTGCTGGCTCCTACTTTATTTGCAATCTTTTTCTCAATCCTACTCCGGATGTCTTTAAGAACAACAGTGAAGGGATATACATCCACACTAGAGATGACGGCAAATTATTCAACATTGCCCGCCTTAGAGCTAAGACTAAAACAAGAAAGGTCTTGCTGCGAGAGTTCTTGTTTGCGGACGATGTCGCTTTGGTATCTCACACAGCAGACGGCCTGCAGAGTCTCGTATCCAGCCTATCCATTGCCTGCAAAGAGTTTGGCCTGACAATTAGCCTAAAGAAAACTAACATTATGGCGCAGGGCGCTGACTCCCTCCCCACATTTATATTTAATATTTAGCAAAAGAGACCTAATCATGATATCAAAATAAAATACATAAATGAAATAAAAAACAACAATTAGTCAAAAGACAAAAACAAAGGTGCATTCACCCACCCACCCATCCCAGAAATTTTACAAGGCAAACCATGGATGGCAGCCAACAAGATCATTTATCGGTCAGATGAGGGGAATCGGTCGGGGTAGTATAGTTTATAGAGATGTGTTTTGAGTGCAATTTTGAAGGCCTGGATGGTTGGTATATTGCGGATGTGTAGTGGCAAAGAATTCCATTGTTTGGGGGCGCAGAAAGAGAAAGATTGTTCACCATATAATTTAGGGCGTGTCTTGGGAACGGACAGAATACGCGTGTCTGCGTGTCTTAAACAAGAGCATGTTAACTAATTCTATAGTGCAAGTTTGGAAGCCTACTAAGCGTATGTATTACCTTCTTGGGATAAATCCATCGTCTCACATCAAACCCCGGTTAATTAGACAAATCAAGAAAACTAGTAACATCACACAAGCTTAATATCCTTCGATTGAGAACAAAAAATTGTGTTCTAAAACAAAAAAATATTTGGGATTTTCCATATTGAACACAGGTACTTAAAATCAACTTGATCATGTCCGATTCTTTCTCTTGAACCTAGGACCGAAATAAATACAAATTCTTTAGTTATCCAATCTGTACGCATTTACATGCGTTCTACCATGCGCTTACCAAATATAAATGATCATTAATTAAGACATTATTTTTACTAAAGGAGTTCATTGATGACTGATTTCAAAGCTAGATAAATATATTAGACGTCTTGGTTTAAATATGTATTTTAAAGTTTACTGAAAATTTATATGTGCAAAATATTCATACAGCAAAAACTGTTCCATTTATTTTGATCCATAAAGAATTATTGAAAACAAAATGAATTCCCCATGTTATTTTAGAACTTAAGAGCAGAAATATTAATAGAGAAATTATACATTGACAACTTGCAATTAGGCTAAAATACAGAAATATGTATTTTGTCATTATAGAAAGTATACAATGTGAGTTTTATATAATATCATTGCTTTATGAGAATATAAACTTGAAGGAAATATTTATAACGCTCTGTTACGCACTGACTTGTATTGGGAGAAATTAATCTCCTATTTTAATTTTAATTGGCTCGTTGTAAGCAGTGCCTAACAAAAGACGATACCATAGAATCAACAATATTAAAGATACGACCCAAAACAGCTACTAGTTACAATTAATTAAGATTTATTAAGTCTTAAGATAATTACAAAATAAAATAAAATAAAATTACAATCTTCAACTTACAGTATGGCAGATGTCGTACCGGTACACAGTTAATACAATTAGAAATAATGATGCCAATAAATAATGCGAAATAAACACATATAAGTAGGAGCACACAAATACACAAAGAATAAAACACGCCTCGTAATGTTAAGAAAATCTATGTGAAAAATCTCCGTCCCCTCGTGCCTGTCAATCTCTTATATATATGTAGAGTAAGATGCTTCGAGAAGGGCTTATGACGTGTTGTTTACATCTCTCGGGTTAAGGAGTATATTCCAGAAATTACCCGAAAACAATCTACCCAATGCGTAATTGGAAGCCGACTGTAAACAAGATACTTCAAAGACCTAAGCCACACCCCTTTGTGAACACAGCGTCTCATGCGGGGTCAATCAGAGGGCACGCACGAGAAATATGATGTAAACAAGCTCTCTATAACACCTCCCCTCTTAAAAGAAAAAAATTTCATTGTTCAAAAATGGAATTCTTTTTCCATTAAAATTGAAGAAAGTACATTTCTTACTCTCAAAATATTAGACAAAAAACTTCTTAACAGCTTATAAACAATAACATAAGTGAAAATTAATTTCTGGACAAAGTATCTGCAATGACATTGTCTTTGCCTTTAATATGTTTGATGTCCAAATTATATTCTTGTAAAAATAGGCTCCATCTTAACAATCTTTGATTTTTGGAGACCATCTTATTCAAAAATGTTAAAGGATTGTGATCAGTAAAAACAAGTACTGAATGTAAAGAACAACTGACATAAAAATCAAATTGTTGGAGAGCAAGAATTAAACCTAAACATTCCTTTTCTACAGTGGAATAGTTTTTCTGATGTGAGTTGAATTTCTTTGAGAAATAAGAGACAGGATGATCTACATTGTGGTCATCTTCTTGAAAAAGAACTGCACCAATGCCAACATCACTGGCATCTACAGCTAATTTAAACTGTTTGTTAAAGTCTGGTGCAATGAGAACAGGAGCATTAGCAAGTATATTTTTAATGTTTTCGAATGCTTCCTGACAAGCATCTGACCAATGAAATTTTGCATTTTTCTTTAACATATTACTTAAAGGAGAAGCAATAACTGAGAAATTTTTGCAAAATTTTCTATAATAACCTGCCATTCCCAAAAATCTCATTAACTGTTTTCTAGTAGTGGGTGGTGGAAGTGATACAATAGCATTTATCTTAGCTTGAACAGGCTTTACATGACCTTGACCCACTATGTGACCTAAATATTCCACAGTTGCATGACAAAATTCACATTTATTTAAATTTACAGTTACATTTGCCTGCAAAAATTTTTTAAACAGAGATCTTAATTGGTTTACATGAGTTGAAAAATCTTGACTGTAAATAATTACATCATCAATATAGGCGCTGCAATTTTCCTGGTCAGCAATAATGTTATTTACAAGACGTTGGAATGTAGCTGGGGCATTTTTCATTCCAAACGGCATTACTTTATATTGATATAAACCATCTGGAGTACAAAAAGCAGAGATTTCTTTTGCTCTGTCAGATAGAGGAACCTGCCAATAACCTGATAGTAAGTCTATCTTGGTTACATATTTGGCATCACCTATTCGATCTA